AATGGCAGCAGTGATATTGCCCATCTTGTATACACAATAGTAAATCTCTTACTCTGCTTTCAACTAGTATAACCCTTTCCAGCAATATAACAAGAACATTCACTGCCAATTGCATGCAAACAGTAAGCAAGCAGCTCTCTAAAACCCAGGACATTGAGTGGGACCCTATGCATGTTCAGACCAAAACACTCAAACAAGTCTCAGCACCCCCAGCCAACAGCGTGCACTGGCTATGCTAGGAGTTGTGAGAGTCTTCTTTTGTCTAAACACACTTAGGGTAGCAGCTTTTTCATACCTGAATGCTTGCAGAAGTCACCCAGGAGCTCACAGTTCTACTGGCTGGAATTGCTTCAAAATTAGACTTTTCTTACCAAACTCTTTTAATTTCTAAACTTGAAATTAAGAGATAAGAGTGGCATTTCAGTTTAGATCAAAAGTACAGCAGATCATATTTTAAACAAACACATGCAAACACATGGAGGCAGGTACTGGCTGTACAAAAAACCAAACACTACAAAAAGCACATAATTGAGTCCACTGAGGATTGTATAACTAATATATTGGGGTGTGAGGCAGGGTGAAGAGAACTGAGACTGTATTTAACTAGAGAGAACAATCAAATGTGCAACCCTCAGCCTACAGTGCAATAGGCAGTCAAAGGCAAGAAGCATGCAAGTTTGCCGAACTTGTGGATCAGCTCTAAGTGTTTTGTTTTATTTTTAACTAATGGGGGGAACATGCACTGTATGAAAAAGAATAAAATGGAGGTCCTGGTAGATGTCAGAGTAAATAGCTGATGAAGAACTAGAGAATCATTAACTATCCATGAAAATGAACCAGTTGACCTTGTTTCACTGATGTCAGCTTTTGCTAGGCAAATTTCATCTTCTGGATGACTCCATAATAAGACGCCAGTTTATTATTCAGGGAACTTGCCAACTGAATGAGATTTACATAGCACATTAACAAAACATGAATGCTAAATACATGGATACTGATACAATATCATGGGTAGTTGCCAACAGAATTACATTTCCCTCCTGCATTATCAGGAACTGAGCGTTAGAAAGCAAAGGATAACTTATTAAAGAGAACAGTGTACATGATGCTTGCATATGTGGCACAGGTCAACTCTTTTCCTATTTTTCCATTTCAGAAGTTTTACAATGGGAGAAATATGAAAAGGGTATCACTGTTTGTTCTTGTATTTCTCAATCTAAGACTTGTGTTTTAAAGACAAGTTGTTATCCCAGTGTCCTCAGCTGGAAATGGTTGTTTTCTGGTGCGAACTCTCTCATATCTACTAATTTGTCAGAATCTAGAGGAACAGAAATAACTATTATTTAAACCTATGTCAGTCTTGGTTTTTAACCTGGTTATGGGACTGAATCCGCCTTAGTTGCCCTGCTAGATGACCTTTACTGGGAAAAAAGACAAGGAGAGTATGACCCTGAAAATTCTTACTTGATTTTCCATGGTAGCCTCCTAGATCAACACTTGAGCTAGCTATTACAGGCATTGTGTTACTGTAGTCCTGGTCCTACTAGTGGGGTTGATTCCAAACATTAATATGGATGATTCTTCCTTCATGTCCTTGACCTCTGGGGTTTCACAGGGTACTATTCTGTCCCCAGTGTTAGTAAACATCTATATGAAGCTGCTGTAAGAGGTCATTAGGGAATACAGAACCAAGTGCCATCAGTACAATGATGATACAGTGCTCTATCTCCCCATGATAACTAAATCGGGACAGGCTGCATATGTCCTAAGTCAGTGTCTGGACTCAGTCTGCTGGGCTAGATGAGGGTCATTAAACTGGAATTTAATTCTGGAAATATGGAAGTCCTGTGGGTCAGTGGTTCACTGCCTCTTCTTGACAGTCTTACACTCCCTCTGAAAATTAGATTCTTACATTGGGCCACTCCTAGATCCACTGATGTCCCCAGTGTCCCAAGTGATGACAATAACTTCACCAGCTTTTTACCATCTCTTTTTTTTTTAGGTTCATCAACTGCATCCTCTTCTGGTCAGGGACAGCTTGGTCAAACTGATACAGGTGCTCGTAACCTCAAGACTGGATTGATGCATTATGTGGTTCTGCCCTTAAAGCTGCTCTGGAAGGAGGAGTTAGTACAGCAGCTTGGCTGTTTTCAGGAGGTGCCCTTTTCAGCATGCAACTTCCTTTCCTGAAGGAACTGCACTGGCAACCAATTCACTAACAACTTGGGAACAGGATACTTGAAAGAATATTTTCTAACTAACCTTCTCATTCATAGAGGTCCCTGGAGGACCACATTCCAACTGGAGGCTACTAACAGATGGTCCTTTAATGTGGCCCCAGTCCTTTGAAGTCCCTGCCTTGGATGGTCAGGCAGGCACCAAAACTGTGCTGTGCATCCCACAATCTTATTCTGAGAAGTCTTTTCTGGCTAGCCAGGCACAGTCTTAATGTTATTTTGTTTTTAAAAATTTAATGCATTGTTTATATTCTTTTTATTTCTTTAAACCTTATACTGTTTACTACCCCAGAATATGTCTGGATATGGAGTGATACAGAATTACTGTAAATAACTAAATATAGAAATGAAAATTCATAAAAAATAATGTAGGCTGTGTCACTAGCCATGGACAATGCAAAAACATAAGCAGATAAGGGATTCTTCCAATAATAATATTACACTACTTGTCTTGCACTATTAAGCAGCTACATCTTAGACCTTCTTCCTATAATTAGTATGTATTTCCACCATTAAAAACCCCAAACTATTAAATAGGTTTTCCTTTTACTGGAACCCTTGTACCCTCCCAGTAAGTTTCTGAGCTATCTAGTGTTCCACAAATGTCTCCTGCTGTTGATCCTAGGCATATTCCATGTTAGAGGTGGGGTAACTTTTCCCCTTTTATCTATCCAGGTGCAAACTTTTTCACAATGGTATTTGGAGGTCTTCTCAGCTGATAGTCTAACTGTTTAATGAAACATTGCTGCCATTTATATCCATGCTAATATAAAGTAGGTATAATCATTGAGTCAGAGTTAGACCCTAACTACATGTTTATTACATTTTGGTCTAGAAAGAAGCATTTTGCTTAATGAGGAGTATTTCCTTATACTGGTGGTGCACTGAAGTCATTTGCTGACCATTGGTAATCAAAGTCTCAAAATAACATTCCATGAGAATATAACAACAAAACAAAAGAAGAACAAAACAAGATGCTATGCCGACACTATACCAGTTTAGTACTAAATGCTTAGTTTAGGAGCAGTGGGCTACTGTAGCTAAAACTGAAACTAAAAACCAAAACTCTTATCTTCTGGATGATTTTTCTTTTGAAACAGTGAATCAGAAATTCCTGAGAGGCAAAACGGAACCTGAAAAACTCATATATTCTACTTTGTAACTAAAAAGGTAGAATAGTACATTTTTCACTGGTGCTTACACTAATCATTTCTTAATCACAGCAGCATATCTTCCAGTGCAGTATCATAAAAACTGAAGACATGTTCCTTGCGATCAAAGTAGTTTCTTTTAAAATTAGATTTTGAAGGAGCTAGGGCCAATAGAACCCTTTTAAATCTTTTGAAAGGCTTCTGCAGTGAGGGGAGGTATTCCAGGGAAGGGGGAACGTAATTCTTCTCCTGATTTCCCATTATCCCATTGAATGGAGGCTGTGCATGCTTACATTCATGTTTTGCTATTTATCATTAGAAGAATTAACCTTGGGCCTTAGTGGCTTGGATGGAACAACTCTGTGAACTTGGAGAAGATGCGGGGGGCGGGGGGGGGGGCTGGCCTTGCTCATTCTGGTGCAGCTGAACCCCAATGTCTGTTGAGCAAAGAATCCTATTCTAGAAAACCAGCTGGTCTAGGAAATACAGGAATCCAGCACAAGGGAGGCAGAAAGACCTTCAGAATGGAGAAGAAATAATTGTAAGCTATTTGTGTCTTCCGTTAGAGTTCTGATGAGCTGATGCTGACGGAATGTAGTAAATCAATCAGTGTTACAGCAGCCTGGCAAGAAGCCATAACATGTCACATTCCCCAATACTAAATGATAGCGCAAAGGACTGCCTTTAATATACCACACAACACTTGATGAGAAGAGCCATTAAAATGATGTGCCACCACACTGGCAAGCTGTGCTAATCCACACTTGCTTCTTTGTGCTTCTGCCTCTCTGGGCCGGTTTGTACACTCATTGGTTCTTTTTTGTGACTGAGGAACAGGCACACAGGAATTCTTATGAGGGAGAAGAATTCTGTGAATTACACCACCTGCGCACGGATGTATGTGGAAATCTCATCATATCCTAAGTGCATCGCCACTCAGCCATCTTGCAAAGTGTATGACCCAGCCTCTGTTTTTCAGCTGCATGAACACCTACAGGCATATATGCAGCTGCTTCAGCTGAAGCAAGAGCACAGGCAGAATCAAGACTCTAGCACAAGGAACAGAGCAATCCAGGAAGCTCCCCCAGGGATCTGCCCTTTTGCTATGGTATGGCCACATTTGCATAGCTTGTCATGCCAGGAAAATGACACTGAGCTGAACTGACACTGAAATGCTATTATTAGTATTTGTTATTAACGTGTGTTACACAGCAGGTACTCAACCTCAAAACAAAAGCCTACCCTTTCACAGTATTTTCTACCTATATCAAATACTTTAAAGCACCAAGATTAACTTGAAGATTAAAGTCATGTAACTAAAAGCCTCAGAATAAAATGTTCCAGCAGCAATTAAGGATTAAGCATGTATTTGATATAACGTTGCCTTCTGTATGTTACAAGATGCCAGAAAAGTCTGCTTCAGGTTATATTTGGCATTATTTATTCATTAGTAGTGTGCACGCGCTCACTTCCTATCACCATGCTGTTGTTAAATTTCAAAATATATAAGCCCAATTGTTTAACACCTGTCAAATCTGTATATCTGTGTTGCCTAAAAATGTGCACTGAAACATTTTACGGGATGTATTTCTATATAATGAATACATAAGAAGGAACCCTATCCCTACCCTCTGCGTATTATCATAACCTAAGCCACATCCGCATGTAGAGAGCAGCAAGGAGCCTCTCGGTGGTCAATTCATGATGATGGAACTTACAAAATAAACTTTTGAAAGCAATATTTTATTTATTTGTTTGTTTATTTAAAGTTTTTATATGCCGTCCCCTTGCTACATAGCCTCGGGACGGCTCACAAAAGCAATAGAACTTGTTCTACTCTGGCTGCCTTCTGAAGGAAACTGTAGTGTAGATTTTACGTAGGCCTCATTCCTAATTTGTATTTCCTCTCTAGATTAGCTACCTCATGGGACAGATCAGTAAGATTTACAGTAATAAATAATTAGGATAGGGTAAACTAGAACATGTTCTAGGTCAGTGCCACTGATAGGTTGATAAAGATAATTCTTTCTTTCATACAGCTCCAAGCTCACCAGCCTCTTCCCCAGCAGTTAATCAGATTGAAGTATTTTTCCCTGTTCAGAGCAAAAAAAGGTTCCTGTATGTGTCTGAACTCTGTATGTGTACTGGTACAAATGTAGGAAGGCACAAATGGTGTTTGTGCGTTTGTGACTTGTGTGCGAATGCTATGGCCATATCTGTGCATTACCATTGTGTGCTTGTCTGTGAGAGCTGTGTGTGGGAGAGTTGGTAGATTCTAGCCATGTCCGAAGCCGTCATTTACCTCTGGTTGCTTGGTTGCCTAGGTTGCAATCTGAACAAGGTTCCCTTCTCCTGTCTTGATGCAACAAACCAAAATTACAGTCAAAGTTGGCCCTGGGGGTTAGGGATCCATGAAAGTGGAAAATGCAAATATCTCTATCCCTCCCCACAAGCTGTGAGAAATGCAAGATACAGTGCACACTGAGACACAAAACACGTGAGTGAAGCTGGCCAGTACAGAGACAAAGAGTGTCGTGTTTGCAAACAGAGTGCGTAGACTAGTTCTTTAGCATACTGATTTCTTTACAAAATTTAACTTTAATAATAAATATGTGTATATATTTATGGAATTAAATGTTAAGTAGATTATTGATACATGCATGCATTTATGACTTACTAAACATTTTTAGTTTGCTTTCCATTTTCTAGTCTATACCCATTATCTGTGATTTTCCACAGAAGTCCGCAAAGCTCCAAAAAACACCCATATAATTATTGATGGGAATAATTACACCCTATGGATAGTGGGACGGCATATAAATTGAATAAATAAACAAACAAACGTGCAAATAATCAAATCCACAAAATGTAAACCCGCAGAAGCTGAGGTTGGACTGTATACTGCATAGCCAAACCATTCCATTTAGTAAGAACTCTGCTTGACTACATGGCAAAATCGCTCTTGAAACCAAGGGGCAGTTCAAAGGAAATGTGGTTATAGCCCAGGCATTCTTGGGGAAAAAATCAAACTAGACTTGGCTAAAGTAACTTTTCGAATCTTTGTTGCAACAGGGTCCACGAGAGGATTCTTTATTTTGGGGTGGGAAACTTGGTCCTCCAGAAGCTTGGGCCTACAAATCTTCTGCAGGTAGTTTTATTACAGTTGGTGCGTATTTAAGCTATCATTTTAAGCACAGGCATTATGAATATGGGTTAGTGAGAGACAAATGGCTCTGAGATTAACAGTTCTAAGTGACACTGACATTTTAATGAAATTATATAGAGACCTTTAGCTGAATTCTATTCACATTTCATTTGACTATAAAGAATGGATTGCTTATTTGTAGGGGAAACCATTTGTTAGTATCTTCAACAATTTTAAGTATTATAAGTAATTTCTGTTTGACCTTTATACAAATAGAAGTTCTATTCAAGGGATGTAGAGTATGAATATCCAGTATATTGAACTATCTTAGGCAGCATAAGTTTAAATAGCAGTTGAACATTTACCTTTACAGTGCAGAACTTCAACCGCATATCATTTAATGATGTCATGTCAGAGAAAACCTTAAGTCCTATCTGAAAAATAACCTCATTACTGTCAAACTAGAAAATATAGTCTCTGGTATTCACAAAAATATGTTGACTTGAAGGTCATTTTAGGGTTTAAAGTTATACTTAACACAGTTCAGGAGTGATTTTCTGCCAATTGCATGTAATTATTTAGTGTTCACAGTCACAACGATCATGCTATATAAATTGCACACATAATTATTTCAGCTGTCATTTACTAACATTCAGTTTTTCATTCAAATATCACAGCATTCCTTCTATGCAGTATAAATCCCTGACATTCCACTATCAATTTCTTTTCCTGTTTACTGATATGCAGATAGTATAAATTTTTGTCAAATTTGTCAAGAAGTCAAATTTAAATCAGCTTCCCTGAACCTGATGTTCTCCAAATACTGTAAACTGCAATTTCCATCAGCCCAAGTCAGACTGATCAATGGCCAGGGATAATGGGAGCTATAGTCCAAAAAATCTGGAAAGCATACCATCTAAATCAAGGATGCAGAGGTTTTTTTTGGGGGGGGGGCAAAGGGGCATATCCCGTGAAAGAGGGTCATGGGTCTCCTATGTACCTGTGTTCACGCGCGTACACACTTGTGCAAGATGAAGAATAATCCTAGCAATCATGGGCAAGACTGCTATGCTGGGGCAGAATGGTTCCTTCCCAAACTGGAATGCTGGTTCTGTGTCACCATTAGCCATACAGAAGAAGTGAGGCTGGTTGCTTTCAGATGACTAGAGGGGGGAAGAAGCTCTCTTTTCCCTTCCACTAATCCAATCTTCAGTGATCTTTTCTGCTGCCATTAATGGTCTGGATGTGAAGATATCAGTTGCTCCTGGGAAGAGGCAGATTTAGACTCTTGTCTGTCTGGGTTAGCTTTCTCTCCTTCCCAGAAACACTGATTCTTTTAGAATCACATAGCCAGTGTGCTGTAGTGGTTAAAAGCAGGGCCTGGGACTCAGGAGATCTTGAGTTCTAGTCCCCGCTCAACTGGGTGGCTTTGCGCCAGTCACAGACCCAGTCTATCTCACAGGGTGGTTGTTGTGGGAATAAGAATGAGAGCAGGAGGGGTAGAATTATGTAAGCTGCTTTAAGTTCTTTTAAAAAATAAACAGGCAGGATCTAAATCTAATAAATAAATAAATTAGCACTGTGGATGAGCGACCCTGATGGCGGCTGGAATATGGTGGCAGGTAGCATGAGGGCTGCAGTGGTGACTTGTGCAGAATAGCCATAGACTGGTAATTCCTGGTTCAAAATAATAATAATAGCCAATAAAAGTCCTCTGAAATTGAACTATGGTTGTACTTTGAAAGACAAGCCAATGCAAAACCAAGATAAACTTTTTAAGGTAATTGGTCCCTATTTTGGATACATTCAGTGAAGTGGGGGACTGGATAAGGGCCTCAGTAGTATAAATGCACTGCTCAGGCAGACTAATAGAGTGGGGGGCTGGGGGGGACTTTGATCTCAGCCTATATGGGGCTCTCAGGGTGAGAACCCGAACCTTGAACTAGTCTCAAACCAAACGCGGAGTCATTCCAGATTATAAAGTATTGGGATGATGTTATCTGCTCTGCTGCCCCCAGTCAAAGTCTTGAGAACCTTATTTTGGATGCCCAGCATACAGCACATCATAGCAATCTAGTCTGGGAGTAACTAGGGCTCAAATTATATTGCTTATGAAGGGTCCACATTGCCAACTCACTGGTAAATAATCTAAATCAACTATGTGAATAATATAAAAAGCTATATACTTTACTGCTTGAAGTGATTGCTTGAATAATTACTACTCTTTGACCACGTTCAAATGTAATGATGTTTGCAAAGTTTGCACAAACATCATGATTATGCAATCGTGCTGATTCTGGTGGGAGCTGCTCAACCACAGATTTAAATTCAGACCATGGTACGTGTGAACAGGAACTTGGGCTTGTCATTGCTCAGAGAAGTTGGAGCCATGGCTTGTTGTTGGCTTATAACTTGGGCTGCTCAAGGGACCTACAACCCAGAACTCCCAGTTTTCAGGGGATGATAAACACAGGTACAAGTCTGTGATTTACTTAGCCATCCCTGCTTGCAGCTGGGACAATGCAAACTGTTTTGTTCACCTTGAACCAGAATTTTTTTTAGAATCCTGGTTTGTTTTGTTATGATGTGACATTTGTGGACTTGTGACATAGCTGTGAACTTGTACTGGTGGACACAGGAAACTATGGAGTAAGTAGCAGAGTGAATAGGAAGGAAGAAAACCAGAGAATTGCTAGGGTGATTAGGAGACTAATGAAGAAATGGTTTAGATTCTTCATAGCCAATGATTTCTGTTATGTCCAAGCATTCTAAGAAATGGTAAAGCCAGAGATGCAACTGATTAGAAATATATTACAATGCCAATAATTTTCTGAGGAGTATTTAAATACTGCAATATTTAAATTCTTCTTCCATATTTGGAATAAGTCTCTCTCTCTCTCGCATGATAAACCATACACTTTTCAAGAAGCATTGATAGCACATGGTGGTTGACAGTACAAGTCACTTTATCCAAAGCTTATTGATGTGACAGTGAATGTGTTTATCAATGTGAATCTTGGGAGATGCAATCCATATGATATTAAAAGGTTATTTTATAAAAGTTTCCTGTTAAGATACCATTAAAACCCACAATTCATGAATTAGTAATGGAAGAGGTAATAATGGCTTGGTGCAGTTATAGCCTATAACAACATGGAAGAGAATTCTTAATCTACAGAAAATTTACTCAGTGGACCAACATATCTTCCTGAGCAATTCTGACATAAGGTAATGAAAAAAGCACAGATCTCTATTAGTCAGTATCATAAACCATTAATTAATTGAACACAAAATTTTAGTTTCATAGATGATTAAATGAGATCATGATTTAGATGTATTCACTTGCTTTTCAATTTTTCTGTCCAACATTATTAATAGCAGAGATTTTAGCTGCATTAAATTAAACTGAATTTACTACCTCATTCACAGAGTCAAAGCTAATGGACTAGAGGTTGAAAACTGCACAGTTGTGCACTTTGTTATCTTGGATGTTCAAATACTCCTTAACTTTATCTCTGATCAAAGGCCATGGTTGCAAAATGCCCTTATTTTCTGAAGCGTTTTAGATGCAAAATCTGTAACTCCACTGAGCATTCCAAAGACAGATGTTTTCATAGGAAACCATTCTAAGATCAGCATTTACAGCCCTTGTCCATTCTTAATATTAACACAGAGCATACCTGGGACCACAGTATTTTTCAGATTTGGATGGACTCTTGTAGATACTCCTATAACAGTGATGGCAAACCTATGGCACGCGTGCCGCGGTAGGCATGCGAACCAAGTCACCCCAGCATCGCTTCAGCAGCCAAGCATCGGAAAACAGCACACACAGGGGCCATGCACATGCCCGGAAAGGAGTAGTGGTGCCAAGTGATGACATCATGAGCTGCAACTCATTAGTTGCGACTTGTCCGAGCTTTCGCATGGCCGGTCGGTGCACTGCCAAAGATGGATGGATGGATGGATGGATGTATATATATGTGCATGTGTGTGTATCTGCTTGGACTGGCTGTGAGTTGTTTTTTCTAAGCTAAAACCTCAGTATTCAGGGTTTTATTGCAGTGTTGGCACTTTGCAATAAATAAGTGGGTTTTCGGTTTCAGTTTGGACACTTGGTCTCTAAAAGCTTCACCATCACTGTCCTATAACCTTGAAGTCAGATACTGAATTTTAATCCTTCCTGCCACCCTCTTCCAGGTGCTGTGGAAAAAACTATGGCAGCAGCTTCCCAAGATTGCAACCACGACTTCAGGGAGGTGAAAGAGGGGCATTCCAGGGACAGGGAGAGAATAGAAGAAGCTGGGATTTAAAGGATTCAGTGACCCTCTCCTCCACCCCAGTCCTGCCCCCAGCAGTATGAGCTTTCCAGATGAGCTCAAAAGCCTGTCTTGAAGAAGTAACAATGAGGAGGAAGAGAGAAGTGAAAACTATCACTAGGATATCTGTGCTTTTGTATCCTAAGGTAGAATGACTGCTCCCTCAGAATGCTTTTGCATCTTAAGGTAATTTTTATTCTTTAAGAGGTTGTTCTAAAAAGCACCTGACATTTCAAATGTTCAGAATTTCATAGAAATAATGAAGAATGTTACCCTAAGTATATTTTGAATGCAGTTCTACACATGTCTGTTCAACACTCAACACTTAGTAAATGTGTTCAAGCGAGTTTGCTATCTAGTTTAAGTAAACTTAGGACTGTGGCCTTCCTTGGATGAAAGTCCTATTGAACTCAGTTGACAGGAGACTACTTTGTCACATGTATGCAGTCTACTACTTCCTACTAAGTTCAGCGTACAGTTATAAAAAGTGGTATTCCAAATGTTCAGGAAATCAGACTCTAAGGAATTTGAGAACTGTTACCTCATATTCTTGGGAAAACTTCAAGTTGTCATTCGCCTTCAGCCTTTCAATGTGATCTGCAAGTTCCAAAACAGGTATTGGAGGGTGGCTAGCCATACCTGTTGATGGAGAGAGAAATAACATTGGCATTGAAAAAAGAGAGAGAGCTATGCAATCCAGACTTAGAAAATAGAGCAATGGCTATAAAATGTGTAAATAGTAAAGATGTTATAAGGTGACAGAAGCAGGCAGATAGTTTAATCACTCAAAGCAAGACATGCTCTGGAGAGATGAGCTTTGAAGCCAAATTACTAAAACAAATAATAAATAAAAATAAAAATCACCAAGCATATTCTTAAAGCTAACATTCTTAGTGTTAAAAGAAAAAAAAAGTTATTATGCCAAGACTTAATGAGGTTAGCTAGCTGGGGAAAAATGAGACAGTTAGACCTGATGTTGGCTGCTGCTTTGACTCCTAACATCATATCAAACCCCTTTTTCTGTGCTGTATGAAATGGAAACGGTGTTGGACTTAGGTGAACAAAAGGTGAACCGGGGCAGGGAGAAGCCATTCAAAGAAGCCTAAAGGAATACAATAGTACTGACAGAAAATAAAGTGACTTATGAAGGAAACTAACTTGAAGAATGCAGGTTACCAGGGTAACCAGAGACACTCGATTCAGCAAAAAGAAAATGTAAAAATAAAAATAAATAAAACATAGAACTGGAGTGGGAGGGGAAATTAATTCCTAACAAAATAAAACGAAAATAGTTGATACTTAGAAATTATCATCATCATTCAGGAACTGGAGAACTGTCTAGCATGACTTGACTGGATAAGACGGGGGGCAGGGAAATCTAATGATTTTTTTTTTAAATGTATAAAGTTTAGGACATTCACATGCAGTTATGAATTGCCAGAGTAACATGCACTGCTGCTTACACACAACAGTCAATAAGGACAAGATTAGACATCAGACATTTTGAGCTTCAAAAATGTTTTCACTAGTAGCAGATTGTAGAGGCAGGGGTTGCACAGAATCAGTTCTGCTGAGCACAAACAACTGGCTTACCCTAGGACCTCAGAGAAAATATCTCAGCCCCGTCCCTTTATCAACCCCCAGAAATTACCTACAATCTACTTCAGGTGTAAACATCTTTGTCTACCAATGGAAAATGGTAAGTACAGAGAAGGCTCAGGGCAGGGATGGGAAAGAGACTGAGAGGAGACAGCACGGGAGCAGAGGGTGGAGGAGAGACAGAGAGAGAGAGAGACAAAGGGCAGAAGAGGAAATGGTGGGGTCAACTAGCATGATCTGCCAGCTGAAGATTTGATCAAGTCCACTCTTTGTGGCTACTTCAATTCGACCAATTAATATGGATGGTTATTCCACCCACCCATTTTTTCCATTATTTAAGCATGCCTAGAATAAAATAGCTTGTTGCAGAGAGACACATAGTTGGCTAGAATGTTTTAAACTAGCAAACCCCATGATGTTTTGAAGTTATAAAACAAAACCATGACCACTGAAGGGAGGAATAGGGGAGCTCAAACTGGAAGCCACACTTTCCATGTTTCATGCTGTTCTACCACCTTGAATTTGAAGGGTATGCTCTGAAAAAGCAAGCTTGGCATTGTTGCAGCACAGCTTTATAGGACATGACCAGGAAAGGATGGTACAGAGAGCTCACAAAATGGCTTTTGCTCCATTTTTATCTAGCTTAATGAAGTCCATTGGAAGGACCAGCAGCATATCATTCAAATCTTGTTTGTGGCATAGATAATAGTACTGTGTACTATTGTGTAGCTGAAGTAATTACATACACAATAGTTCTTTTGATTGTGTGGTCTGTGCGCTCATATTGTAAGATCAAGTGAAACAGAAGAAACCCACACAAATTCTGAAAACTACTCCTTGGATGGGAAGGCCACACTATTTCTATATGAATTGGTTTTTATATCTCTCATTTCATCACATGCAATGTTTAAACTGTTTTTTTTCTAAGTAGCCATGAAATATATTTGATCTAGATTCCAGATCGAGCACCCCAGTGAAAAATAGAAAAGGTTTAAAAAAGGCACAAGAAAATGTTAGGCTTATTCAGAAATGGAAGTTGAATGATGAAACATCTAAAACCGTGATCGAACAGCGAAAATAATAGAGACAAAGATGTTTAGACCTTTTCGAGCGAATCGTGGGAGAGAGTTATTATCATATAAGGACTGAGTGGTAGTTTGGCTAGAGAGGGAGGACACAGAGCCAATCAGGGAGGCGTAGGGGACTGAATTACTGCTCAAAGCTGTAAAAAGTAAAGCCAATTGGAAATGGGAAAGAAATTAGTAGCAGTAGAAGACCATCATATTCAGTCAGTTTTCACAAAGACAATGTATTGTTTTGCATGCACATTCTTTCTGCGGGCATTCAGAACTGGGACAAATATGTAGGAAGACTTGAGCACCTTAACCTATCAACATATAGAACCACCCAGCCAAATTCATTGACCAGTTTACTACAAAACTGGATTTCAAGACGGTAGTCACACAACTGCATTGTTTAAGTGTTATTAAAACAAAGCAATGGAAAATATATTGTTAACAGCACAATCCAATGAAAGTTTTCTCAAAAGTAAACTATACAAACTTAAGTTAGGCTCAATCCAAGATCAATGTACACAGGACTTTAGCCTAAGAATATTAAGCAAACACATCCTTTTTCTGAATGGTGCGGCCCTTCATACTGACGTACCCATGCTGAAAGAAGCACCCAGTCCAACTGCTACATCAATGTTCTCCCATTTTTATTTATCAGCATCCCCCTGCAGTTAAAACATTTGAGGCCTATCAAAAGGTGGCATAAAATCTTTTTTTAGCAGGAGGGATATAAAACCCAACATATTCTAGAATTAACCATCTGGTGATTATTGCAGTGCAGCATTCTTAATTTTATGTCTAATACAAACTGAGTACCTTTCAATGGTTTCTCAGTAATCTTATACAAGAAAATAATAATTGTACGGGTGGTTGTTTTTATGTTTATCAGGTGATATCTCCCCCCCCCCGGAAAAAAACTGTCTATTCACTGCTTGTGAATAATAATATGCACATATAAATAACTACTGTGATGTGCTTTAGCTTTTGAGGGCTAATTCTTTGCTACTAGTACATATTAAACCCAAATACCATTCTTATGTATGTGTGGGATTTTCACAATCAATCATTGACTGTGAGTGCGGCCATCAAAGATAGTATAAAAAATACAGAGAAGTTAATTTATGGATCTACAGTGCATCATCTTGTTGAAAAACAGCTAAGTCTAAGTATCCTAGGAGAATTTTGTATTTATATAAAACATGGCAATATCTGCTCTAGCTTCTTTTTACATACAGACATATGAAATTATGTGGATCTAACTTGACTCAACAAACAACATAAATCTGTCCATACACCTGAGATCTCACTGGCAACACCCTTTGTGTTCATTACAGTTGAAACATAGCACAGGGTAAAAATTAAACACCGTATGTTGTTGCTGTCTGGAAAGACTAGTAATTTTTTAATAAACATACAAGAGCTATGCTATATACAGAAATACCAAAACACAACAGCAAGAGTAGGCAACATTTATCCCAATGAAAGATATATGAAAGTTTTATTGAACCTTAGTTCTGACAGATAAATATTCATATATGCTCAGCTCCCACTGAGCTTAAGTCTAAGATAATGAACACACCTTAAGGTGGTGAGTCATACTTTATGCTACAGATATGTTTGTGGTGTGTACACCAACACCTCCTGGTGAACACTGTCAAGAGGAGGTACACAGTGGGAATCCATGATTATTCACAGCTCTCAGACATGTGTCTGCTGTGCATCAAAAACATGAGTCTGCATTCATTCTTGAGAATGCTGACTAAGTCAAGTACTAAAATGAAATATGTGAATTAAGACAATACAGTCAAACAGGAAAACTCATCTCCAATTTTGGATACATTTTTTTAAAGGACCACAAATGAAAATCAGTTTGAGGGACACGTTTCACCTTAACAGAGCAAAGGGTTTCAAGTGAGGGCTACAGCTGGAGGGCTACATTTTCTTAGTTCCAAGATAGAGGGCTTTCTTTAATAAAGCCAGGGAACAATGGGTTTGAGAAGTGCTTAAGATATACCCCTTGCTTAGAATCACCTCATACTATATTGATGTCTAACACTGGAAGAAGCAAATTAGTAAAATACTGTCCCCGCCCCATGTCTTCTCACATAAGAGGGTTGTTGAGGTAATTATACTGCTTGTTAGCTTTAAACAAACAGTCACAGTCACAGAAGAGAAAACACTTGTCCTATGATGCTGATTTTTAGAGGCCAGATCAGAGGAATTATCAGTCTATTCTGTGATAGGATTCATGTTTAGAGATTAGGAACCAATAACATTACATTTCATTATATTATCCCTGAAATGTGTAAGGAGAAACATATGCATAATTTGAACACAGAGAATATAGCAGATGGAGTACACAAGTGCCTTCTTCCTATGCCATCAGCAAACGGCTGAGTCATAGAAATACTCAGTCTGATGTACTTAATCCATTACTGATCAAGCTCAGTCTACTACTGCAGTACTGGGAAAATCCCACAAAATCCAAGAAGCCTCTGCACTAAAGTGGCTTATACTATCTATTTATGTTATGTGAACATTTCTGTTTGAGGCAATTTATTTTTCTTATGTTCCAAGTGTCCTTTTATAAGGTAGCAATTGCTAATGAGTTAAAGATTAAATTACTGGCTGCTTATAAAAATGACTCCTGACTGTGAAACATTTAGAAAGTCAATAAGGATGAGTGGTGGGGTGCATGTATGAGTTTCAGGGAATCTCTATTTAGCAGAATATTTTATTCTGTCCTCCTAAATGAGAAGCAAATTGAGTCATCTTGTAGCTTGGAGCCTAAGAAAATCCATTTATAGAGTGTCTAAAATGGTTCTTTCCATTCTCTGAAAACCCACATGGACTCATCCACTTCATGAGAATTTCATTTATTTAAAGCTGTGTTTAGAAACTGTAATACTGGATTTTCTTTTTAAGAAAACAAAAAGCAATGAAAGTAACATGCCCAACTCCACCCACACTCAAGTCAGTATCTTTATATAAAACCAATCAAAGCAGCACAATATACTATGTGTTTGAGCTCCTTAGAACTTTTCATCAAAATGGAGGTTAGGTTTCATGAATTTTTAAAAGGGTGGGGAATCCTGGCTTGGTGTTGAAGCCTTAGCACCTGCTATGGTCGCAGTCTGCAGTGTAGGAACAGGTGGCAAACTTAACTGAAATAGACTCTAAGTATTATGCAGGTTTCAGATTACACCTTGGGATGATAGGACAAAGGGTTAATTCCCCATGTTTCAGAATATGAAATTCTCACTTCCCTGGATTTTTCTCCACCATTAACAAAAAAAACATAGGTACTTTGTTATGTGGAGAGTGACAACAGTACAGAGAAACATGCCAACTCAGATTCTTTTGCTTTCCTTTTGTGATCTACAATAGCAATGAAAAGGGATCTCCAACTTTGCTAACAAATGATCAGCTAAATTCCTCTTTAGCAGTTGCATTGATTGGTTAGCTTTTTTTAAAAATTCTTTTCTATACTGTCCCAAAGAGTCTGTTATGAAGGTAGCAATGAATTAAAATGAACCAGTGTTACAAAATATGGTATCATATATTAAATTCAAATGTAAAAATAAGATCTAATATCTGTTCTATAAATATATGCACTTATTTGCAGATGTGATTTCCATGTATCAGCCTACCCTACTCCTTAAGCTTAGGGTAGATAACTTCACACACACATATCATAAGTTTCCTCCTAACAAGTATTTGTGGGGTCTAATATTATTGTGATTGGCTGGTCCAAGACTCACTGACTCTATGTGTTAGTTGACAAAGGGTTTCCCTGTTCACTCTTTTGAACAGAGTCCCCATATATAGAAATGCGTAAACTCCAGCATGATGTGTTCCAAACATCTGCTTCTGTGATATTTGGAAGTACTGTTTTCAGCAGCAATCTTCTGGACAATTTGCTAGCTGCTGCAGGCTTTTTTCTTGATAGACTAGCTTGAGAGTTGTTTAAACAGTCTCACACTACTGCATAATGGCCAGGTTGCAGGTGCAAAGCAGACTTACCAATCACAACTAAGAGTACTTTGCGTAAAAAAGGGCATTTAGTTAAGCTTTGGGGATTCTGTTTACTGGTTAGGAAATATAGCCCTCTAAAATGCAGCCTTTATGAATAAATTGTCCGTTCTACTCAGGACAACTTATCTACAAGCAAAACAAATGTGTATGGGTACTAGCTATCTTCTGGTCATGTGTGACCACCCTACATCCACTTGGATACAGGGATGCAATGGAAAAGTGGCTTGTAAAAAGGCCACTCACAGGACTAAGAGGCACTTGCTAGCATTTAGCACTTTTACGAAGTTTCTGCCCCCTTCTCACTTTGTCTAGCAAGAGCTTCTCCTGGTGGTCTGATAAGCTGCCCCCCTCTAGCTCAACTGTATTGATCTGCAAGCAGTTTTGTAAAAAGGGCTGGGGATGGAATTAAAGAGACCATATCTAAATAAGGTACATATTTTTAACCCAAACCTTTGATTTGTGGAAGCTATACCAACAGTTCAATAGATACAACTGCTCCGTTTGAGCTGAAGCTTCTCCAAAGGTCACCACATACTCATGGCTGAACTCTGTTCTGCAGCCACCTGTCCCTTTCATGTTCTAAAGCCCAAAACAATTGCCAAAACTTTCCTTGCTCTCACAACTTTGCCTGTGTTTTTATATTCCCTTGCATTTTTTCTGCTTGGTTTGCACACAGTTAAGAGATACAGTGACACCACCATGATCCCTAACCAAACCTAATCACACAGGGTTTGTGGAGGACCACCAGATGGTCATGCGTTGATTAAAAACATGGCAGGTGTCTCCACATCACCTGATACAGACTTTGTAAAAGAATATTTTCAATCCAGAAAGAAATATAACAGATGAAACTACCAGCATCATGAGCCCAACAAGAAAAACGGACCAATTGTAGCGCTCTCAGTGATTCATTTCTGGAAATGGCAAAAGCAAAGCAAACTAGCTGTTTTCAGAAATCAAAAAAAGAAGCTCACTGCAAGGTGAATTAAATCATTTCTATCAAATGACTACACCTAATTTATACCATATAAAATTATTCAAACTCAAGTAGATACTACATGGCTTATAGAAGTAAAAATAAGAATGTTTTGCATCTTACCTGGAGTTTGGAAATTAAGGCGCCGTAACTCTACTGGATCTGTGGGATGGTGGGAAGGAATCTCTTTGCTATTGGGTATGCTGCTTTTTCTAGAGTCCGTCTCTGCCCTTTTCCTACATGGAAAAAATGAACATAATAATTAAACAGATTTATCAATATGCTCAATTAACAAAAATATATCTATCCTTTTATCTTCTTTTTCATCTATAGGTCTGTACTTTTAAAATGTCCAAGGACACCAATATGTCTGCAATCCAGAAAAAATAACCAACATTTTAATCAAATTGTGCATAAACAAACATACTGTTCGGAATTAACCTGAAGTTAGGATCAGGATAGTTCATGGAGCCAGTCCCGACAACCTCAGTCCAATTATGTTAAAATGAGTGGCACGTATGTCTACTACTGAAGTTTCGCTGATTTCAGTGAGCTTTAGGGTATACACCTAAACCCACCTCCTTGGCAGTAAGCTCCACTGAATCAACAGATCTTACTTTTGCGTAAACCTGTGTGGGATCATAGTGTTAGGCTTGCCTGATTTTCTCCGCAATGATAAGTACAGTGGCTGTGATCCTGGGGAGTCTTTACAAAGTCATTCCCAGAGGTTATCTTGCAACTAAATAATGGTACTACAGGAGGTGAAAGGGAATTCATGATCAATAACTGTCCAATTCCCTTGCAGCTGTATTTTCTGACTAGCACCATTTCAATGGAGTTCCAAGTATTCTTGTAAATTAGTTTTTTGCTAGCTCTAAAATGCGAGAAGCAAATATGAAAGATTGGAAGTAATTTTCAGTGGTAGCCTCAAATAAGAACCTTTCTATTTCAAATCCTGCTTTAAGGCATCTTCACTTATACATCTGACCAGGTTCATTTAGATTGGCAAACATTCTGTTTGAAAACCCTATCAAGCTGTCTTTTCTCTATTTTGTTTTCTCAACTCCCTTTTTCTGAGAAAAACAGAAAGCAATTGTTCTCAACTTCTCACCTGTCGGGTTTACTGCTCCATTATTATGCAGCAAAGAAGAGAGAAAAAGGTTAAATGTTAGCTGGCCAATGGCAAAAAGAACAACCATGACAATAGGAAATTACATTGTATGAGTAAGCTGTATACCTTATTCGAAGAAAGAAGTAATATCTCATAAAATACATGATTTTCTCATAGAGAAAACTGAGCACAAATGTGTAGTCATGGGAAATACTTCATGGCTTATGAAAGAGGCATTACATTTTTTATTAGTTTTGTTTGGGATGGAGAATGTATCAAAATCATTCTCTCTTCATACCTTTTCATCTTTTGGCCTCTTATCTCCCTGATGGTGGATGGGAAAATGACCTAATCTCTTGAGTATCAGGAGGTATGGATGCAGATTACTTGGAAACAAGGTTTCAGCATCTTTGGATACAGATGTATCCCACATGTATATTCCTGCGAAAAAGCCTGGGCTAAGAGATAAACCCTATGGACACCCAGAGAGCATTCCAGGTACCATAGGATTGCTTGGAAAAACCTCTCTGAGGTGGGTGATAGTGATCCAACCTTAAAACGGGGAGTAAGGGCTCTGCCCGCAATAGCCAGGGTGGAAAGAACTATACCAGCTTCTTCAAGAATGAAAAAGTGACCTTGGAGGAGGAGGAAGGGGGTTTTCCAATGGAAGAAAAGGGTACAAGTCTAGAGAGGCCAGGATCATCTTTTTTACCTCCTTTCCTTCCTCTCCAAAGGACCCTTGCTCGACAGGCTGAAAAACTAGCCAAAAATCACCAACAACAGTGGCCAGGAAATGACTTCTGCCATTCCTCCTGCCCTGGTGGTTTCAGATTCTAGGAAGAATCTCTAGAGCAGGGGTCTCCAACTCGCAGCCCGCGGGCCAATTGCCAGGAAGGGCAGGGCAGGGGGGAGGGGCCCTGCAGCCTTCAAAGCGCTGGCGGACCCTGGGCCGGCCACGGGATGGGCGGCCCACCACCACCACCACCACAGTGGTGGAATACTTGATACGGCCCAGACTCACCCAGACTCTACTTCCAGCGGCCCCCAGGTAAGTTGAGTTTGAGACCCCTGCTCTAGAGGCTTCCAAGGCATCAGGGAGCAACTGATAGGATTGTGCCATACAAGATATGCAGTAGTATCTGTAAAACCCCAGCATTCTGCAATATATTTTTAATGTTTCCTTTTACTTAGCAAGGTAGAACTCCTAATCACATTTGAGAAAGGTACATTAGACTACTTGTTATTTATATGCTTAAATTATGAGAATGCGATAAACTAAAGGGGGGGTGTTTAGCTCTGAGGCCAGTTGATGTATTTTCATAGTCTAAAAACAATACAGCATGTATGTCTGGTTTTCTTCCTCATCGGACTTCATATGAATGTGGAATGCTGCAAAGATTTTGTTCGCTCCCTTTCTTATAAAGGCAAGCATGAAGTTTAGTGTCATCAACCATATTTCAATATCCCTCTCTTTTTGCCTTATAAACCACAACAATGCTTAACAGTGGTTGTATCTAACCAGACTGTCCAGCGGCAGAATGGCAGTTGCTGACAGAACAATTCCTCCTTTGTGTTGCACCCTTCCATGCCCCCTAAACTGCTCCAGAGTTTCAGAGACTTTCTGGAGCAGACTTGGATAACATGTAAGGGCTACAGGTGGGAGGACTGCAAGGGAAAATCCACTCATCTGATGTGGGACTTCAGTCAGAAACCTTTTCCATTTTTCCTACCAGGAATATATAGTATTTCTGTTGGTTCAGAACTGAATTGCTTTTTCCAGGCACTTCTCAAAGTTTACATGAGAAACTGAATTACTGGTCCAGTTCATTCTCTCTCTCTGTCGCTCTTGCACATACACACACGCACATACACACACATTATGAGGCTTTTCATGAACACTGTATCATCCAAATCCAGGCAGCATGGATTGTTGGAAGGATAAACAACCATCAAATAACCCGATCAGGCAATACTATAAACCACAGCCAGATGGTGATTATGCAAATTGCACTTGGCATACACTACATCTTCCAACAAACTGGTTTAATCATGCAAACCAAGTAATTCGGTTCAAGAATTTACAGCCAATTCATACAACTGAAAAAGCATGTGTAATGGCTTACATGAGCAATGTATTATTTATCTATACCACCCGATAGCCAATAGTCTATATTTGCATAAACATAGGTGAAAGCAATTCAGAGAATCCTGAGGATTGTAATCTAGTGAGGAACAGATCGTTTGCTTCTGTATTTTCATCCCTCTGTTCTACTACATAGTTTTAAGTAACAAATGTCATAAACACACTCTCAAGCTGCAACTGATACTCATTTACTGGAGTAAGACCCACAGAACGTAATAGGATTTACTGCCGAGCAGCCATGTACAGTATTGCACTGTAGGTGTCTCCCATTGAAGGGAATGAAGGCTTGGGAGAAATTATTGCTCCCTCTTTCCTTTCGTTCTTTCCATTGTGTATGTGTGTGGCGGTAAAGGTTTAGGTGAATCTTCCAGGCTGGAAAGAAGCCTACATTTGGCAATGGTGATGCCCACCACTCTTTTTTCCTAGAGAAAAGCTTGCACTGTAATACTGTTTAGTACTCTTTATGGACTGACTGTAGAAAAAATGAAGAACCACCTGTTTTAACACCCCACCCCCCCAAAAGCCTCAGCTCAATGAAAATATGTAAAGCCCACCCTCATTTTGTAACGTATTTAGTAAACTTACCTTTTATAAAGCAGTATAGCGATCACAATACAGATGATAAATACAACTGCAAGAACTGGTCCTACAACCCAAATCAAGCCTTCCTCCTCCTCTGTAATTGGCTGGGGATTAAGATCCACTGACACAACGGTTTCAGAATATGGGCTGGTTGCATACATGGTCTGGAGGTAAATAAGACTCTTATTTAATAACAAAGGTTTTTTAATGCTATAAATATAGTTTAAGAATTGCAGCTGTGGGAGGCATTCATCCTTTCCTTTTTCAGACTCGGTCTTTGCATTATTTTTACAAGTGTTTCAAGATAGCAGTAGAAAAGTACAGTGGAAATATTCACTGTGCAACACAACTTCAAGTGTAAAAGCAACTTAACCAAACCGTCTCTTTGCAGTTAACAAGTCAAAGTTCTAAGAAGAGAACCACCAGGAAACAAAGCCTTTCTTTGACAGGAATTAATTAAGTTCAATAGGCTCAGCCCAGTACATACACATGGAAAGTTTAAGAGCCAATTAGGAAGATATCAAATAACTCATATGTTATAATGTTAATGTTTGTTGCTACACCTTCCCACAATCCTCTTTTCATTGCTGCTTAATTATTTTTAAAAACAGTATTACATGCAGTTAAATCAACTCAACCATAAAAGGGACATAACTTATAAGAGAGAGGCAAATTACATAAGAGCAAAAATGCAACTCATTATTTAGATCACCTCAGGAATTTTCCTTTTTGTTACATTATTTTCTGTTACATTTCACTGATAAAGTCAGTAGCAAATTACTATAATTAACAAAGCTACTTGTGCATGTCCTTGATTAGTTCCCTTTTGCCCAAGATGTTTGGCAATGAGCGATACGTCTTGAGGCAAGAAAAAAATGCTTCTTTTAAAGACATAAGACATCCCCATGAAGCTCATGCCTCAGTAATACCTCTCAGAAATTTCAGGAAATAAAGGTCATTTCTTCAACAGGATATGAACAAGGATGATTGCAACCTTATACATCCAGAATTATGGATAAAGATAATCTGAAGTGTTAGTAGGCCTACCACCAGTTTTCACAGTGTGTACAAATACATTGCAAAATCCATTATAATCCTTAGCATTTAAACTTCTACGTAGAACACATCTGCTGAATATATACCAAAAATAAACACGTATTTCTTGTCCTTAGACATTATATCAACATATAACGGCGATCAGAGCTCAGAGACAAAGCAAAGGGTGGGTACAATGTTTCCCCACTGTTCACTGAGTCTGTAGTATACACACAGAACCTTCCAACCTGGAGAAGCCATTCCAGATAAGTAAGGGTTTTTGAGGAGCACCTATTTACACAGCAACTGATTTCAGGGTTTGAAAAAGTAAAGGTTGTAAAGCAATGCTACAGAGAGTTCATAGAGACACATTACATCGATGGCTTAAAACCTGCAGTCAACTTACAGATTCTGAGTGTTCCATAACAGCTAAAATAAAAACAACATATTCTTGGCCATTTTGGAGCTGCTTGTTCTCAAAACCACCATACTGTTTCTTATCCCCCAGGGTGAACTCAGTAGGAAGAACTTCAAAGTGTGCTGCAATATATGGCTTTAAATCTGCTTCTCTCCCCAAACGAATGCTTCTGCGTTTCCGTCCTATCTCCTTAAGTAGCTTTAGGGTAAGAATGCAGAAAAAAAGAGATGAAGAGAAAAAACAAAGATAACTGTAAATAAAATAAATGTGACTTATTTACAGACTGATAATAATTTGTTCCTAGGAACTATAAAAATACAGTTTGTTCTCATTTGCTCAAAAATAACAATTATATTTAAGTTGCAACACTATATGTACAAACCTGGAAATTCAATGGTGCTTATTGCAGAGTAAATATATAAGAGTATACTGCAAATCTCATTAGGATCTATTCTTAACACAAAGTAACTCCAACATCAGATAAGAAACACAGTTTGGTTTTTAGTAAGAGATAACTGTCATCCGTTTTAATAAGTTTAGCAAAGGAAAAGGTGTGCAAAATAATGCTTATGAAGCTCCTTTAATATGGGCACTACTAGGTTTGCACAAGATCCAAGTGAGAAAGCTGGGTTAAGAATGAATGAAATAAAACAGATCTCCAGATGTTTTAGACTTCAATCCCCTCTTGGAATGTAAATTGGTTAGAAATACTGGGAGCTGAACTGCAAACCATCTGGAGATCTACTTACTCTCTCCTCCTACTCCCAATTTAGGTCTCTGTGGATGTGGTCTTTAACTATATGAAATGATGAACAACATAAAAATACAATTTTATCAAATTAGTATCTCAGATAGATATATATAAAGCAATGACAAATATGGTGCAGCTTTGATAGTAAAAGTAAACTATAAAGCTGAGCCAGTGGCTGAAATTATAAGGCCTTAAAATACACTCACTTTCACTCTTTTTTGAACAGTTTTTTGGCTGTTGTAGTCTCAAAGGCTATAATCTATTCTAGCTGTGACTCAACTTATCAAATAACCAATAAAACATTAGGTCTTCTAGTCTGATGTTCTGCATAGCTCTCCCCTCATAATTCCTTACAGTCTTGAAAATTACATTCTTATCATCTCCAACAGCATGTACACCAGAAAATTTTGATAACTGAAAGAAGAAACATGCATGTTCATTATTTTTCATAGGTACTGGACAAATACTAATGTCACTTGCTCAGAAAACACCTGAATTTTCCCATATGATGACCTGTGCAGGGAGAGGGACAGGGGGAATGCATCCCTGTTGGTTCTCCTGGACCTCTCAGTGGCTTTCAATAGCATCAACCATGGTATCCTTCTGGATAGGCTGGCCAATTTGGGAGTAGGAGGCACTGCACACTGGTGGTTCCTCTCCTATCTGGCCGGCCGACTCCAGATGGTGGTGCTGGGGGACTATAGCTCTGTGCCATGGCAGGTTTACCATGAAGTTCCGCAGGGCTCTATTTTGTCCCCCATGCTATTTAACATCTACATGAAACTTCTGGGAAAGGTAATCAGAAGGTTTGGGCTGCAGAGTCATCAGTATGCCGATAACAACCAGCTCTACCTCTCATTTACACCTGCTCCAGGTGAGGCGGTGGCTGCACTGAACTGGTGCCTGGCTGAGGTAATGGGCTGGAGGAGGGCCAATAAACTGAGCCTCAATCCAGATAAGATGGAAGTTCTGTTGGTGGGCAGTCCGGGTCTCTAGGTAGGTGATTTTGACCCTGTAGCACTTCCTCTAAAGGACAGGGTCCACAGCATGGGAGTACTCCTTGATCCAGAGCTGTCACTGGAGTTCCAGGTGGCGGCAGTGGCAAGGAGTGCTTTCCTACAACTTCAACTGATCCACCAGCTGCGTCCTTACCTGGATGAGCACTCCCAAGCAACAGTGATACATGCTCTGGTAACTTCCTACTTGGATTACTGCAACGTGCTCTAACTGGGGCTGCCCTTGAAAACGGTCTGGATACTTCAGCTAGTACAGAACAGAGCTGTCAGGTTGCTGACAGGGACCGGGTGTTACTCTCACTTAACACCGGTCTTTACCAGCTCCACTGGCTTCCAGTTGAAGTCTGGGCCCAATTCAAGTTGCTGGTTTTGATCTATAAAGCCCTACATGGCTTGGGACCAGGATACCCGAAGGAACGTCTCCTTCCTTATATGCCCTCACGCCCCTTAAGATCTATGGGAGAAGCCCTGCTCCGGGAACCCTCTCTAAGAGAGATAAAAAGGTCATCAACTTGGAGTAGGGCATCCGCTGTGCCCAGACTCCGGAATGTACTTCCTAGAGAGGTACGCCTAGGGCCGAGCTTATACTCCTTTCGGCGCCAGATCAAAACCTTTTTATTTAAACAGTATTTTAAAAGCAACAATTTTTAATGTTCAGTAGCTCTTGTTTTGTTGTGTGATTTACTGTTTTGTCTAATATATTATTCTGTTTCCATTTATTTATTAGATTTTTTTGTGGTTTTAATTGTTCTTTTAAGCATTGTAAGCCATCCTGAGATTTTTATATAATAGGATGGCATATAAAAGCTTTTAATAAATAAATAAATCTGCGAATTCACAAACAGCTCGAGCTGTTCTAGCATGTCTAATTTTTCACAGTTGAGTTTTACATCACCATCTCAAAGGCACCTGGTTAGAAAGGAACTGCCAATTTCAATGGCTCATTCGCTGTGTGCTGAAGTTAGCAGTCCTATTTGCTGATTTGCTTTAAATGAGAATCAAGCTTGATTGCTGTTACCTGCTGCAGTAAACATGCAAATTGCAGGACCCATGTAAATGGTGGTTGAGATATCTAAGAGTTACCACATGTGACCTGATCCCCTTCAACAGGCAATATATGAATCAAGCTCCAGCCTGCTACATTGTCTTAAGCGCACATAGGTGCTAATGGATTTACTTTATATAAAAATAACTAATACTGTGCAGTAGTATTCAATCTTTTATTAAAAGTCTCAGAGGTAAAAAGTAATAAAGACAAATAAGTTGAAATATGAGATTTTAATGCTAAAGAATGTGTTTTGTCAGGGGAGTCCTGCTTTCCTTTGAGTTCTATGAAAGAATTATATAGTAAACATTTTTAAAAAACATATAAGCCATATATGTTAAATCTTTGATTTATTGGTTGATCTCTGTGGGTGGGCAGGACTAACACCCTACCTCAGGGTAGTTTGGAGATACTCATAAAATGCGGGAAAAGAGCACTAACCTGAACTCCTTAGCAGAAGGGTGAGATACAAATGTAATTAAAGACTCTTAAACATGTATGAGGGATATCAAGTTTTTGCACTACTATATGTTATATTTTATAAATGTATTTTAGATTTTTTTGCTGATGGCATTAGAAAGCTAGTATGACACTGGGAAAAATGAATCACAAAGGAAGGTGACTATGTAGAAAGGTGATGTAATTTGTTTTTAAATAGAGTTTAAAAGGGGGAAAATTTGGGAAGAATTTTTCAGTGGTCCTTCTATGAGAGCCCTTGACAAGGGAGGTCAGGTGGAAAGCTACTAAACAGAGGGCCTTTTCTGCTGTGGCACCCTGGCTAAAGAATGAGCTTCCCAGAGAGGTTTGCCTGGCATCTACACTGTACTCTTTCTGATGTTATTTTTCTAGGAATTTTCCCAGTAATTTTTTTTCTGTCTGTTCTAAATGTCGTACTGTATTTTACATCTTTGTAGCTCTTATTCTAGTTTTCACTTCCACTTTATCATTTAAATTATTGTATTATATGGAGTATTTCATGTATTTAAATAATTGTAAATTACTCAGAGAACTTCAGTTATTTTGTGGTATAAAATATAATAAACAAAAATAATAGCCATGGTTAAGGTTAGGGAAACCTAATTGTTAGTCTGTTAGAATATATTCACAACCAGCTGTTGAAATTTGTGAACATGTTTAAGAGTTAAATATCGTTAAAATACTATGCCTTTAAGCTTCTGAGTAGAAGGGGTTTCTATGACCTTCTGAGCTTAAATAAGTATATGATATATATACAATAGAAAATGAGTTTGAAAGTGAATTTTTAAAGCTGGACATTTGACAAACAAAGCAAAGGTAAAGTTGCATTTCTGACTGTGTGTATGTTTGCTTGTCTTGTTGTTAGTCGCGAAGTCGTGTCCGACCCATCGCGACCCCATGGGCAACATTCCTCCAGGCCTTCCTTCCTGTCCTCCACCATCTCCCGGAGTCCACCCAAGCTCACACCAACTTGTCTACAACTGCATAAAAGAAGGCGGAAATGTATATATATCATTTGAGTCACTTGAATGACTCAATCTGAAGTGCACCCTTCATTCGTATTTTAGAATCAAATGATGCTGTTGTCACTCATCATCATCACACAGATCCCTTGTGGTGTTTGCCCCCACCAAACAAGTATAACTTGAGAGGCAATGAAGTCATAAAAAGCCACTCCTAAATACCTTTAATATCTGGTTCATAATATATTTTCCTTATTCACGTAGCTTTTATGAAACTTTGAAATCCATGTTTATATTACTGTCAGCTTTATCTTAAACATTTTTTGAACTTGCAAGTAAGTTCTATTTAGTTTAATCAGGCTTATTTCAGATAAAGCACACTTAGGATTTCAGTTGAAGGCTGAGGGACTTCCTTTCTTTCTTCAACAAAAACTGTAAAATACAATTTCAATACTACTAGAGCATGTGGCATAGTTTGGAAACTATAAAAGGGGAAAGGAGTGAGATTATGCTTTGTCCTAAGCTCAAACATGCAATCTATGATACAAATTCAGAAAAAAAAATGTGGCCAAACAAACAAAAGACAATAAGAAGCTTATTTGGTGGGTACGAAGCACTGGGCTTCTTTTCAAGTAAATCACTGACTGGATGCCACTTACCATAAAATTTTCAGGATTAGTGATTAAGTTAGAGCACAATACTGTTCATGTTTAGACATGCAGTCCCCAAAATATCCCAGCTAATTCCAGCATTAACTATTACCTATTTAACTGTTGGTTTGTCCCATACTTTTAACCACATGGTGAGAGAATCTGATTTATCCATATACTTTAGATAACAACTTTGCAAAGCAGCAGAGAGTATATCCAATGGTCAGGGATTACAGGAGTTATAATGCCACCTGGAGAGCCATAGGTTGCAAACCCCTACTAAAGTGCGAGGACAGGTTTGTGGAACTTCCGGTTCTTTGAGTGAAATGAAGATGGCAACTCCAGAGAAAAGGACTACCAAGTTCTTTCTCCACAGAAAGAACTATGTAAATTGGTTCGGGTTCTTCACAAGAGGAAAGATGGTGAGATATAAATGCAATGTAAGAATGGTGTGGCAGTAATCTTTTCCCGCCAGTGCTAACAGACTGACACACTGATGCCACTGTAGCTTGACACACATGTGACCCAACTCAGCAGTAATCTTCTGCAAATGGAACTCCCATATAACGAGCAATAACACACATTTCACTGCTCCACAGCTAGAACCTCAGCACTGGTAAGAGGACTTCTGCTTCTATCCTGCATGCACACTATAACCCTACACAGCCTTTAGGCAGGCTGTTCTCGTACATAAGGAAAACCTCTAAAGCATCAAAACAGGCAGAGTCAGTGTGAAGAGTCACCCACTTTTGATATCTTTTCTGTCCTCTCGATAGTTACTAATGGAAGCAATTCTGAAAGATATATGAAGGGCTTCAACTCTCTATCAGAAACAATTTTCATTTTCCAGTCAATGCATATCTTATTTCTTCCACCATTAATTCTACAGTGTGGTCTCAATTGTATCCGTAAAAAAAATGGGAAAGAGCCCATCCTGACCCAAATGTCTCTGAATTAATAAATGTTCTTTATCAAAGTATTATACAGATTAATGCACCACAACTTGCACAATGATTAAAATGACCATTTGTTATGGGAAGCAGCAGCACCACAGACCTGAAGAACTTAATTACAAGGCAGTTCAATGTCATCTGCAGAATTCAGATTGCAATTTGTTAATGTTGCTGCATTTGACTGTATAAAATGGCCTGGAGACAGGCAAATGTCATTTGCTATTATTGAATTTTACAAGTGTTTAACTATATTTGATATAGACTAGGAGCCAGTACGACTCCAAGTCCTTTAAAAAGGAAAAAATACATTAAAGCAAGTGGGCCCCACATGCTGAAAACAGAAGTGAAATAATGCAGTTAGTTAACGGCTTAATAGATGTATGTCAGTTAATATAAAATAAATGACAAGCAATATGTGGCATGATTCAAAGAATCCAGATGCAGAGGTTCCCATAGGGCTTGAGAAACCCTTTCCTTCTACTTTCCCCACATGCCAGAACATTAGAGAGTTACAATTAACTTGGGAATATCACTTAGAAAAGAAGTTGTGAATGTGGGTATGTGGCATATGCACAGATCGCCCACGCTCCATGATAGGACTTGGTGCGCTGAGGAAACGGTGATGGCTGGCTTCTATTCAGCTCTGTGGATATCTGTGCAGACATCACGTCTGAAGTGGGACTAGACTGCATTTTTGTTAGGGTAAGTCAGAAAAGTTTCCGGGGCCAGGTAAAAAACATTTTATTTACCCATCATTTTAAAAATTACATTAAAAATTTTAATAAGAAAGTAACAACATTTTACTGTCACATTTTCTGTCTTTTCCTCTTTTTATTTGGAACAATGTGTTATGATTGAATGTAAATAAAACAAAAATAAAATCATAATGTTTATTATTGCATATTTTAATTGTATTTTATGTAGTTATTTATTTGTTGTAAGCCGTCCTGAGGCTATGCAAAGGATGGGATAGAAATGCTTTAAATAAATAAATAAATAAATAAATAAATAAATAAATAAATGTAAGCTCTTTAGATTTTTTTAAAAATGAACTAGAGTTCTCTCACCATCAGAAATAATTTGCATTAGTTTTTAGATTCTGAACCAAGTTAATAATTGGTACTGTTCTTTAGCAATGTAGTCAAGAAGGCATCTTTTTATATCTACTACATACAAGTCTTCTGGATTTGCATTTGCATGGAAGCTACCTGTGCAATTTCCTGAAAACTACAAGGATGATGCAGCCACTCCCAGATGGGTCTTCTATGGTACACACAAAGTTAGGAGGCTAAACTGAAGCATCATGTGAAGGACTGAGGGGTTGAATGGACAAAGGATCTCTTAATAAACAGCTTATGCAGACAGTGTTGAAGATCTAGACTGGTTTACAACAATGCTAGGCATAATTAAACAGTGTCCCATATTATTCAGTTTCTCTCCTGGATATGTCTGAATTGGTCTCTATCATGGCTTGGATCCTAAGTTGCTTTTTGATTCACAGAAAGGGAGGGAGATATTTCCACCGATTCCTCTTCCATCTACAGCAATGCAATTCTTCAACACCGTAAGAATATAAGAAGCTCTATGCTGGATCAGGTCAAGAGCCCATCTGCTTGAGCTTTCTGTTTACACAGTAGCCACAAACAAGATATGAGTATAATTATACTGACCTGCTCAACTTTGCTAACAACTGGCAATATGCATATTGCTTCTCTCCTCACTTCCTTTTTTAAATCTAAATTATCCCAGATGTTGTAACTTCTCCTCAAAGGGGGACTGCTCCCACCCCTTCGTAAATCATTTTTTCCAGTTCTACAAAACCCTTTTTAGATGCAGTGAGCAGAACTGCACACAATAGTCCAAATGTTGTCATTTCTTTCAGTTATGGGATCAGTGCACCAAATTCATGAGACATGACATCCTTCCAGCTTCCTTCCAACCCAAGTCTACAACAACAGACCTTTTTCTCATAGATTACCTTTGATACCGGAGTATTCCTAAAGGCTCCCCAAGGCCTAAAGCAGTCTAGAGAGACAGAAGGATGCAGAGAAAGGTTGATGGGGAAAGTTCCATTCCACATCATGGACTCTGTTTCATTCATAGAATGAAACTTAGGATCCAAGTACTTACTTCCATATATGCATACTTGAAAATCCAGGTTGCATTTGCAAACATCAAATGTATTTCTAAAAGCCAAACCATTTTTTTTCTTTTTCAATGTGAGCCTGTTTTATGTTTGTGGGGAAGATCTAAGCCTTCGTTTGTTGCATCTGAGACTGGCAGTAGCTGTTTGTGAGGCAGACTAAAATGTCCTGGATTTGAAGGACGAAGGTAAAGTAAGACTGTTTTGTTATTTACAGTGATCAAGATGTGCTGGGCTATTCGCATATTTCAGCTTTATATCTGGTGTGGAATGTGGAAGGACTTTAATTATATTTATATTCCTGTCGGTAGGTCAGTGAAGCCGAACCATATGTGAGGCTCAACATAATGATATTTAATGTGCATTAAAGATTATCATATATTTTAATCAATTTCTCTCTCTCCCAGTATTCTAATCCAGGACAATGAAACAGCTTCTCACTGTGTGAATTGTCCTAACACAATAGACTACAGCAGGAGAGCAAAACCGATGGCCATCACTGCAGATCTCCTAGGTCCCCTGGTCCTTCTCCTCAGAGATCCGTACACAGACTCTTCCCACACTGCCACTAGCAGAAAGGAAAGAGCAACTGTGTTGGGCACATGCGTGTCTACATGTACCTGTTTCTGTGTGTGCATGATCATGATCCCCAGCCTGCATCACACGCTGCCCTAGGGCTGAAGAAGCTGTGCAGGCCCATTCTGTGCCATGCAGATGATGGGGCATTTAAACTTATCCACTAGCGTCGAATCAAAATTTTACTCTTCTTAAATTATTTTAAAAAGAGCTGCAACCCATGTCCCTATGATATAGGAATCCGCTTTCCAAACTCAATTAGCTTTCAAAGGCGATTTGCCACATGGTGTACGATGCTGCTCATTTCAAGTTCAAGGCATTACTGCATGCGCAGGGTTTTTCCCTTGATTGTGATCACAGAATAGCTTACAACTGAATGAAGATGAACCAAAGTGCAGCATGCCAGATTTACCCGCTATGCCAGATTTAAAGTAAACTGTGAAAAGGAAATGATTTTTTTAAGAAACAGAAGCCACATCACACTGTATATGAGACTAGGGGTGTGCCTCAACCCCCAGCTTTAAATTGGATCTGTTTTGAATATGAGGCTGATCTGGTCTGAAATGATCTTATCTACTTTGATTCAATACCAAACCGAGTTTAGGTTTGGTATGATGCTTTGTGCTCCTTACTGGCTGTCATGAGCTCTTAACTGGCAAATCTCAGAAAAATAGGTGCTATTGGGGCTCTTTTTTGCATGTTACATGGCTACATATTTTGAATATTCTCTCCAAAATAATTGCCAATTATGTATCTGTTTCATTGTAGATATGTATGAAAATTACAGGAATTTTTGCTTCTTCAAAGGGGAGCAAGTTTACCTAATATCACAAAGACACATGGGAAGCGGGGTTTAGGCAACAGTAGTCTTTGTATTTTGAGAACCTCCAAAAAAGGATGTGTGTCTGTGTTTATGGTTCTGAAAACGACCACAAGTCTAGAGTAAGTATGGTATAGAGCAGGGGTCGGCAACCCGCGGCTCCGGAGCCGCACGTGGCTCTTGAGCCCCTCTGCTGCGGTTCCGTCGCCCAAAACACGCGCTGGCACAGCCGCTGATCTGCTCGAAGCTCCATTCAGGAACGCAGCGCTGGCTAGTTAAGTAAATCAGCTAGTTAAGTAAATCACTACATTCCTCTGCTAAACAAGCTTCCTGTAGGCTCTCATGTTACACGAAACACTCCTGAAAAGATTCTCTTTGTCCCAGTGTAATCTCCTTCATCTGAATGTTAAAAGCTGCGCTTGGGACCTGTCACAATTCACAGCACTTGACTATTTATCTGCTAATCAGTCACTAAACACACCTATATCTCTGGCACAGCCGCCGATCTGCAGACCCGCGCCAATTTACTGAGCTCCTCTCCTCCCCCAGTAGGCCAACCATGGATAAATAGAAGAAAAGTTTCTGAAGAAAACCAAACATTTAATGATACATGGGTAGATTCATTTGCTTTTACTGCTGACGAACTTATGGGGTTTGCTGTTTAATGCATGTAGCCCTTTAGCACTGACTTTGACTCTTCAGAAAGCTGTTCTCCTATTCAAAATATATGAAAGGAGTCCTACTAGTTTATAATGTAAGATTAAAAATAACAGTTTTTAGTGACTGAACAAGAGCTGCAGCTAAATCATAATGAAGATATACATAGCATTAAGGTAAAAAATGGTATATGCAGTGTTATCTTCATTTTAGATGTCAAAGGGGTTTTGCGACTCCTGGTGTTTTCTTTTGTGTGGGAAATGGGTCCAAATGGCTCTTTGAGTGTTAAAGGTTGCCAGCCCCTGGTATAGAGGTTAGACTGTTGGACTGGAGATTCAGGAGACCTGGGTTCTAGTCCCCATTTGTCCATTAAGCCCACTGGGTGATGTTGGCCCAATCACTTATTCTCAACCTAAGAGACCTGACAGCACTGTTGTAAAGACAAAATGGAGCTCTATAAGCTGCCTTGTGTTCACCACAAGAGAAAAAAAGCAGGATATAAAGCTATGTAACAACAACTGAGGTCTACCCAAGGAAGAAACCTGAAAAGTTTCATAAGAATTGACACACCATATAACGTGGAAGAATAGTTCTGAAATTGCTTTGGGACAGTGACCTGCTTCCCCTTCCATCCCCCCACCTGTTGCACTTTTTGGCAATTTGTATGGAAACAAATTGTATAGTTTTCTTCAGGTAGAAAACCAGTGAAGCATAGTGCGAAGGAAGAATGGCCATCTCATGATCCCATTCTTGCCCAATCTTGTGGGAATGAATTGCCTGCTAAAGTTACAAAAAGCAGAGGGAATTGCAGAAGAAAAAATGATAAACTATAAATAATGTTACAGTTCTAATTAATGGCATTAACGATGCAAAGCAAAACTATTGAATGAGAACAAGAATGAGAGGGAAATGAAATGATGGATGGAATCCAAGAACGACAGAAAGGAAAAAGTAAGGCATTGTGAAAAGGCAACAGAAGATACACAGGGAAAAACAGGGAGATAATGGGCCGGATCACATGATTACCACAGCCCACAATGGTTTATTTAAGCCACAGTGGGCTGCAATGCATGAGAGATATGATTTTGAAAATGCAAGTTGCTGTGTCATGTGATCCTGAGTGGTGTGGGTTACATGAGGGTTAAATAACACTTGGATATCCCTAGAACAACACATGGGCTACCCAAGGGTTGTTTAATCCTTGCCATCCAGCTTTGAATGACATGAAAAGCCATTGAAAATATGTGCCTCAGTGGCTTACATAGTTTAAATAGTGCCAGTATGCACTGTAACCCTCATTAATTAAATAAACAAGAATGTTTGTGTGAATCTGGTCAATATCACAGACGTGACATAACCCCACACAGGGGAAAAACTGCAGAACTGAATTCAAATTATTTTTCTCAAGAAGGTTGCTACACAAAGAGGCGACAATGATGCCAAAAAACTGGAAAATCAAAGGTTATCTCAGCAACAAAGATTTTGCAGGGGCAAATATAAACATTGAATTAAGCTGAAAAAATGAAATCATGAATAGACAGAATTGAAGTCAAACTACTTCACCACACCAGAAATTTATCAATGTACTTACTACTTCTAAGCAGCTACAATGTGACACTAAGAGGAATGGAAATAAACAGGAATTTTATTGAACACTTAATGAAACTCAATCTTTTCCCCAAGGTATAGTGATGGAAGCTTCTGGTGAAAAAAAGGGCCCTAGAAGTTGACTGTGACCCTGTCATTCAACTGCATGTCCTTCAATCTGCATTCCCCCACTCAGCAGTTTAAAGAACTGAAGGTTAAAGACACTGTACTAGAGTTGCTAACAAAGCTTCATTTGGGAGCAGGTTCAGTTCTATTGTCTGAGGAAAACCCACTTCAACTCAGAATCAGACCAAACTATGTCAATTCTGCTTGAACTTTATGTGAAACCAAGGCATATCATTAGAAAAGACTGATTGGGTGACAACCTATAAAGTACTAGTCATTTGGTACTGATGAAGAAAAAAAATATTTTCCAAATGTGATGATTTAATATATTAACATGAAAACCAAATCCACTCCAAGTAATTTTTCTTAACTCACTAATTTATTAGATTAACTGATTATAGATTTATCAGAAATGGAATCCAATCTTCTGCCTTTTAACACTTATACTTTTCTATCACTTCTACCATTTTTCTGTTAATTCTATTGTTTTCTACTATTCCCAAATAAAGCAATTTTCTTCTGTGTCAAATAAATTTCAGTTATGCTTCTAGGGTTTACAGACTTGTCTATGCTTAAAGGTATGTTCTGAGGCACTAAGGCTCTGGTGATGAAATATCATCACTGCTGTTTCTGGATGCCGTTGGCCAGGCTCTGTCAGTAGCTACAAGTGAAAAGTCTGGTCAGTGTGGTGTGTGACACTGTGGCCAGGGGTATCTGGGTTCCGTTCTCTGTCCATCCATGAAAATCAAAGGGTAACTCTGAATCTCTCAGCCTTGCTTACTTCTATCTCTCAACATCACCTATTCATCACCATTTTGTGAGGATAAAATGGGGCTCAGAATGCCATGTACACCAACCTAAACCTCTTGAAGGAAGATTAAGCTAATAAAGGTTCTCAGAGGCCAGTGAAAATTCCAAGTGCACCACCAAAGTTGGCTGCACCTGGATATAATGAATTGTGTAGAAAAACTTGAAAAAGAATATAAAAGCAGGCAGGTGTAAAATCAACTTGGAGCTAAAATTAATTCTATCATGTTTCCAACCTATCAGAATAATGAATTTATTAAATTGCTGCACAGACAGAAATCTGAAGCCATGGCTGCAAAAGGCAGCTTTCCATTATGTGTGTTATCTTCCAGCTAGGATAACAGGAAACTCAGCAGTTGTGCATACTTATGTCTTTTCCTAGACATTTCAATATTTACAATGAAAAGCATGTTGGGGGAAAAAACTTCATGTGCTGGTCTTAGAAACCCCACTGTGGCAAGAAAGGCTGAAGTACCTTCTCCTTCCCAACATTCCCTGTCTGTTTCGGGGCTGAACAAAGGCATGTGATCATGCAGAAAGCTGCTGCACATGTTTACTCCAGGGGGAGTTTAAGATGATTTTCCAGGTAGGGGAAGATAATGTTCTTTGTCCCATTCCTGTGAAATGGTAGTTGCAGGGGAGAAAAGGGGAGGTTGCTTTGTTGTGGTTTTAAAAGCCATTTTAAATACAAAAGTAGGAATGACAAGAATGCTTTTCCCAGTTCCCAGGTTAGCAGCACTGGAAAGCCCCAAGGGAAGAAGCCCTGCCTAAATCATAAGAGGGCTTTCCAGAAAGTCTGAGTAGCCAAAGAGGCGGCAAGGACAGAAAGGGGAAACAAGCACTGTGCACTGCCGACAGGTACGCCTTATGGTAAGGTGAGCCTATAATCCCTGCACGCTGACAAACATTTCTAAAATTACCACCCCATTCCACAGTTTTAGGATACAATTCCTTTTTGCCCCTCCCCTTGAAGGAGATAGTGAAAAGATGGAAAAATCCAGAACAGTACTAAAATATGTTTATTGTTCAACAGCTCAGTTCCTATTTTTGTGATTATGCAAGCTGTTTCCCCCCCACCTCCCTTTTTTGGTGCTTAATTCTGGAGTAGAGAGAGAAGGAGCTTGAGAGACAGAAGAAATGTTTTCTAATTAGGATGATTCCAGCACAGAAGAAACAGGTAAAGAGACTACGAGGGAGGTCAAATGTTAAACTGCAGAGCAAATTGCAATTTAGCATCTGATTCAGCTTTAGCAAACACCCCATTAATGAACCAGACCTTTACGGGAGTTCATATCAATGGTGATTATACTTTTGCTGACAACTCATTTCACCTTCTGCATTATGTCTTACAATTGGCAAGGAATAAAATATTAATGCCAACAAAGATCAGACAGTTTGCGTGCCTCATTGCAACTTAATGTCTTTTAATTTAAGTAATTAGCTTTTTGCTTCTGCCCCCAGAGGCTAACTCCAATACAAAATGATAAGATATATAAAAAAAGTCAAACTTGCTGACATGGGTACATTAATTGGACACAATCTTTATGACTGCTTCTATCAAAAACATTTTTACAGGAAAAAAAGCTAAAATAAGCACATGGTACCTCATCTAATTCCATTTCGTCTGGGCTCTCTTGCGGTTTCATGAATTTCCCATCAGACTTCTTTATCAAAGGCACAATTACTATATAATAACCTCTGGAAAAGAAACAAAAGATAACAATGAAGACTACATAAAAAGAATAATGTGTTCATGTTGGTTCAGTTTGAAGACTGCTACTATGAATAACCTTGAAACAAAATCTCAGTGCCTTCCAGCAGAAACAATTCTATGCCAAGCTTGGGTATGAAAACTGGAAAGCTCTACATTACCTGGAATTATTTAAGACCAGCAGATATTCCACATGCGCTTAATTAAGAATTATCCCTCCCTCCCTCTTTTTTCAAATATTAATTTAATCCACAATTCTATAAATATTACTCAAATATTTTGATGGCTCTGTTCCACAGCTATCTTCTGATAATTGAAATAGCTGTATACTTAAATATTAAATGTGTTTTATAACATTGGGGCAACCTGTAGGTTTTGAATATTTGAATAATCCAAGGAGTGCTTTTAACCACACAGGTCACGTTCTACCTTGCTGCCTCCCTTCTGCAAGCAGTCGATCCTGCCAGTTCTTTTGCATGCAAGACACACTATCGACACAAGGGAAACTTGGCACTTTCTAGAAGCCCCTAAAGTAGAAGTGTGGGAGGGTGACTGCATTTCCAACCTACCTCCTCCCAAAAACAAGTGTTCCTTCTTGTTTTGCATTGCCCAAGAATTTTAATTGCAATAGGACAACTGATGGGAGGGCACCTATGCAATGCAATTGCTGTGGCAGGACAGGATTGGCAGAAGATTATGCACTCCCCTAGACTCTGACACAAAGTATGTATTATTGTTATTGTATTTTATTTTTATCCCACCATTTTTCCTCTTCAGAGGAATCCAAGGCAGCTTGTATAGTTCCCCCCTTCAGTTTTATCCTCACACCAACAAACCTGTCAGGTAGGTTAGGCTGAGAGTCCATGACTGGCCCAAAGTCACTCAAAGCTGATTGGGGACTAAGTCCAGATCCCCAATCTAGTCCAACCAACAGACCATACTCATGTAATTTTACTACTTAGATTATGTGGTGACATAAATTTCTATGAATGATGAATATTCCACACCCCCAGGAATCATAGAATGGAAAAATATTGAGAATAATAAACTGATAGCAGTATAAAAGACTGCTTGAATACCTGAGAAACATGTATTCAGTATCTCCGTTTTGACTAGGACTCTAGATTTGCAACTCAAGCACTGCTGTCTACTCATACTAATAAACAGAACAGACTGTTTGAAATACATATTCTGATGTCTACCATTTAAAGTACATATTACTTCAACCAAAATTTGAGGTCAAGTGAATATGAAGTCTCAGCCAGAATATTTGAGAAATACTGAGGACACCAAGAGTATGGATAAATTGAATGGCTCTACCGAGCCCTATTTTTCTTGTAACTGTATCACTTTCAGTTGTATTTCAAGCTTTCCCATTTAATATTGATTTCCAAAAATTAAAATAGCCCAAGAAAAAATGTATTGCTATCCATTCAGGAATGAACTATTTTTACCTTTATGCTCAGACAAAACACACACACACACACACACACTGCTGAATCATGATTACATATACGCAGAAGTGCTACCAGAGTTAAGCAAGACAGTTGAAAGCATGGAGCAATGCTGGCGAGTTTCACACCCTAATCATTTTCCACACTTTAAAAAATCACTAGAATCCCCCGCACACTTTTGCAGCCAGCCACTGGGTCCATCTTGCTTCACTGTTATATTATGACTGCATGTGCTCAATATAAAAGAAAAAATGTATCGGCAGAATGCTTAGCTGTTAGCAGTGAATGGCTTTTTTCTCCAAAATAGGATGTACATAGTAAGCAACTACCATGTAAGTACTGCACAGTCTAGACATGAGTTGAGTGCCTAGGTTTGTTAGACTACCAATACTTTCAGAGTAACACAATACTGAAAATGCAGTTTGAAGGGGGGGGGGAGAGAGGAGGAGAGGAAAGGAGGGAGGGAGAGGGAGAGGGAGAGGGAGAGGGCATGCAAAGTAACTTGTGGGATATGCTGATATGTGCTTTATCAACCTTTTTCTTTTAAAAAGTATTGTATTTCTGCTATCTTGCGTTACACCGTAACAGTAATTAAAAAGTGTGTAAGAAGTTGAGTTCTTGTAATGGTTCTGTACAACTTGTTTTCAGACACAGCTAGCAATTCGCAATTGACTCAAATCTGAACCAAATCACTTGCAAAATCAACACACATGGGTTAAATTACAAAATTTTATCACTTCTTATCTGAGAAGCCATTAAGATTTTGTAAAAGGTTTCCATGTGTAATAGACACAGTTGTGAGTACATACACAGTAGTTTCATATCTTTAAGTACAGACTTAAATTGTGCATGAAAGCCACAATTACTTCCTTTAACAAACGTAGGTATTTGGTGTACTTTCTGTTTTCCTCCTTTACCCCAAACTCAGCTGCACCAAAACTGGCTCTCAGGTCCGATTCAAAGAAAGATCTTCCCGCGTAATGTGGCCAATACATATTGTGGAATGTTCACATGATAATTTAATGTTTTCAGTTAGATAAGAAAAATGAGATTGAAAATGGAAAAAGAAGCAAAACACTGAAAATAAAGTGACAATTACTTGTTGAGTCAGTTTACATGATTGCTGCAGCCCACAGCGGCTCATTTAAGCCATGGCAAATTGCTGTGCACAGTGGCCATTTTGCATATTCAAGCTGCAGTGCTTGGCTGCTGGACCTATTGCGCTGTCTGAACCTGGTGCTGGAGTACAACAAACTACCCTCAGCCCTAAAACTATCCACCAGTTATGGCTGATTTGTGAAAGATTTAGTTCCCACCCAAATACCAACACATTAATCGAACTGACATTTATTGTAATTGCAGTGCTTCTATGAAAAATCTACATGTCACTACAAACATTCCAACTACTAAAAAAGGGGGGAGGCGATTACTGTTCCTGCTTTTCCGAACTATTAAGTAGTTGCAGTTTCAACTGTTGTTTCTGTTGTTCTTATTGTGTTTACTTCAGTAAAAGGTTGATGCTTGGTGGATACCATAGTCTGGATCTAGAAGTTCTGGATTTAAAATATGAATCCTTAACTTTCAAACTCAGTTCTCCACCTATAAACCCGGAATAACAATGTTTTCTTCAGCTTTTAGGGGAACGGGAAATTGTTGAGTCTGGACTCATACAAAGGGACATGTCACTTCTCTAAACACAGAAACAGAGCGAGTCAGAAGGGTCCTCCTGGGTCATCTAGTCTGACCCCCGGCTCCAGCTGGCTCTGCTCACGACATGCCCACCATGTGCATGAAGGAGCCGCCAATCACATTCTGAAACAATGGTAGCTCCATCAAGGCAGAAAAAGGAGCATTCAGTTCATCATAATTGAACAAAACAAAGTCCCATTTTTTTAAAGGGTAAAATGGGAAACTTCCATTTCCTAAATAAAAATGAAGCATCTACAGATGAACGCACACGAAGAGTGGTCAACTACAGAACTTTTTACATTGCTACTTGTTTTATATTGTTACTTCTTTATATTATTTTTTTGTATTTTATGTTGTGAGCCGCCCTGAGGCTTCGGCGAATGGGGTGGCATAGAAATGTTTTAATAAATAAAATAAATAATTCATTCTCAAATTCTTGAATTGTTCGACATTCAACAAACATTTCCTCTCTGAGCCTGTGCTGATATTGCTAGGTCCCCAAGGTAGTGTCTGAGTGCAAGTGCAGCATGCTTTTCCTGGGCTAATCACCACATGAAATGGAAGTGTATTAGGAGATGCATACTAGGAGATCCTATGTGCAATGAACATGTGCTGTCCTGTATGCAGCAACTGCTTCGTTCGTTTTGGTAAGGCTTCAGGAAGATGTGGACATGTCATTGCAATATCACCGTAACAGCCCACTTCCTGAGCATCCTGGCTAATGCTGAGTAGCAATACAAGGAAACAAGCATGATCTGCTTGCTATGAAGCAGGAGAAACGGCAAATACTTTTCTTGGAGCAGCAGGAGCCGCTGCTGTATGCTTATCTAGTTGGGCCCCGTATAGAACTAAGATTTTATATGTTTCCTCTCCATCTTCTTTTGAGATTGGTTCTCATACAAGGAAAGATTAATCCTAACAGGAACTGAGGGAAGAGAGAGTGGGGGACCAAAGAAGAAACGTGGAATATGGCAATTAATCCGGAGATAGGTGAGGGAATGACCCAGAGTTAGGCTCTGTGTAGCCTACAACCATTCTTTGAGACTTGAGGCACTCGTAGAATAACCCAAGAACAAATGGGAACCAGGCATCGTGTATGAATGTACACCATCAACTTTACAAGGCACCAGCTGTCGCTGTCCAGCAGTTAATGAAAGGTGAATGCATTCTTGTGTAAGTAGCTCATTATCCATTTTATTACCACGTTGACATTCATAATCACAGGTTGGTTTAAAGCCCTTCTAACAGTGGAGTCTTTTGTGTAATTCTATGCTCATTAATATTAAACTACTGATTTCCTCTAACTCTGTAGCTTGTTATCTTGAATAGGATAAATTGGTTTGGCATTCTAATGAAAAAATATAAAGAAAAAATATTCATTTAGTAATTTAATATGTGGATGTGGGCATGATATGGTCATCCTAACTCATGAATGAGTTGATGTGAACCAGAGTTGGTATTAGCCCTCTGTAGCAGAAGAAGAATTAGTTTGGGTCTGGAAAGCTTCAATATGAAGTATAGCAAATTTGGGCTTATTTTCCTGCATATTTCTGTAACTAATGCTCTGACTGATATGGCATTTCATACACAGATTAGTTTCTAGATCTCCAAAAATTTACATTTCACTGGAAATGTCCTAATGGGCCTTGTCCTAAAACTAGTATCCTGAAAAGTGCATTATCAATGGAGGATGATGAAAAATTATCATCATCAGTAATAATAGTGGCAGTCTTTGCTATGTATTCAGATCGTATATAACATTTCTTTATAAGAGGTTTCGGCAAGGGGCGGCATAGAAATGTTATGATAATAATAATAATAATAATAATAATAATAATAATAAT